AAATAAAGTATTTTAAAATTAAGGTAAGTACATTTTCTTAGACATAATGCTATTGCACACTTAATAGACTAAAATATCATGTAAACATAACTTTTATGGGACAGTTGGGAACTGGGAAGCCAAAAAATTTGTGTGACTCACTTTATTGCAGTATTTGCTTTGTTGCAGTGGTCTGGAACTGAACCCACAATATCTCCTAGGTCTGCCCCTAACTGGTTTTCTGCTCACTCTTAGCTGCCATGACCTCCTCTTTCTTATTAAAACTCTCCTCCTTCAGTGTTAGGGTCCCATCCTGTCCTCCCCCATCTCTCTGGACACTCACCCATTTTTTTCCCTGGGTCCTCTTCCTCCTCCAGCAATATAACATGGACTTCCCAGCCTCAGCCCTGGACCTGGTTACTATTTCTGTGTGCCCACTAGCTCTGCCAACATGCTCCCTGGCCCCAGGAGTAGACTCCTGACCCATGGCTGGTGTTCCTTTGGCAACAGAGATTGGCTCCAGGAGTGGACAGGTGCCCCAAGTAGGGGCAGTTGCAATCCTTGCTTGGCACTAATGGCCGGACCCTGTTGTGATGAAGCCAAGAGGATGTGAATCAGGGGCTGTTGGCAGCATTCAGGCCCTACCATGAGGGATCTGACTGCAGAAGAAATGGAACCCAGCTCAAAGGAGAGAGAGGAAAAAGAACAGACAAGAGCAATGGAGAGGCCCAGTCTTTGAAGCCCTGGTTTCTGTGGCTCTTCCATTGGTGCTATGAGCTTCCCTAATTCATCAATATACATGCTCCCCTTTGATTTAAGACAGGCTGAGAGGGTTTCTGCCACTTGCTAATTGCACTGTTGTCACTACAGACTCTCCTTGTCTACATTTACATCTTTGACCAAACCTCTAGGCAAATGGCTCCCAATCTCTACCTCTAGCCTCAGTTTCTTTCCAAGCCTCAGTAACCCATTGCCAACTCTCTGTGCTGGGCATTTTTCCTGGAGGTCCCATGGGCCCCTCAACCTCCACATGTCTGAAACTCATCATTCCTGTGCTGCCCACCTTCTTGTCCAGGCTCTGTCTCGATCTATGGTGCCACCATTCTCTGCCCCCAAAACGTCCTTCTCCCTCTCCTTCCTGCCCCACCCACAGCTAGTCACTAAGTCCTACTGCTTCTGCCTTCATACTGTTTCCAACAGCTGTCCCTTCTTTTCTGTTCCACAGCCACCATGTGGGTTAGGGGCTTAGCTTCTTGATGTGTCCATCAACTCGATTCTTCCGACAGACCATGACCAGAAGAGTAAGCTGCTTAAGGAACCGTCTGCTGAATCCAGTCTAGACTCCATAGCAGGGCTCACAAAGCTGCCCACGAGCCCCATTCCCAGCCTCACACCATGTTCTCATCTGCAAGACCCTGCTCTCTAAACACATCAGGTACCTCACCCCCTTCTCACGCTGGCCTCAGCCCTGGGATCGCCTCTTCCTCCTCTCTGCTATTGCTCTGTGGTCCAGCTGGCTACAGTCTGAATATTGGTGTCCCCCCAAAATTCATAGGTTGGAATTTATACCCAATGAGATACTATTAAGAGGTGAGCCCAGGGAGTTTGAGACCAGCCTGGGCAATATAGCAAGACCCTATCTCTAAAACAAAAAATTGTTTTATATTCAGTCCAAATGCTGACAGAAAATCATTCAAATCATTAAAATCTGGACATAAGTAGAAATGATGATGTACTTAATAGGTAAGGGCCTTTTTTATTTTACTCTCTACATCGAGAGTCTCGCAGAGAAACCAGCATCTGGTAGACATTCAAGTATTTGTTGAATGAATGAATTTCTGTTCATCAAATTTAGTACATATGTCAAGTAGAAGGAGTTAAGAAATTAGGAAGGGATGCTTGCATGAAATTATACCACATACAAAAATTTAAGTCATATAAATGTTAAGGATATAGGTTAAAGGTCTTCATTTTAAAGTACTTTTGTTGCTAAAACAATAGTCACAATTCACATTTATGATTTATCTGTTTTGTCACCATTTTATGTAAATAATAAAAATAATATTTACTATTCCTCAAAATGAAAGTTGACAGATAGTTTAACAAGCCTTAAGTTTATAAAGATAGGTATGCATTGAAAATACTTTTCCTTTTATAAGGCTTGAATTGAAAGGTTTTTCTCTAAAATGATGTTTTCCAGGATATTGGTGCTATGTGATAACTTATTTGGTGAGGCTTTCTGTAAGCTATTCTAGACAGTTGATAGAAGTATTTGAATGACAAGGATAGTGGATTTCAACTATTAATTTTGGTCTAAATGTAGACTGTTAGACTAGTATATAATTATTTTCACAAAATGCATAATCATGACTGCCAATTTTTCCATGACTAACTATACCCTGCCAGATGTTTCTTAGGTTCTGCTGAGTCACTTTTTTTCCAGAACTTTGTGTTCCCATTGACTCTTAATCCTGTCTGGCTTTTTTTCATACTTTGTCTTTTACCTGAATTTTAAGTAAAATGGTTTCAATGTTCTTTTTACCATTTTGTATGCATATAGTAGGTACTTTAAAATTACTCTCAATTTTATTTGCTATCATATATCTTAACCTATCTCTTTCCTGGCAAGATAGATATTTTGAGGAAATTATTCTAAAAAGTCATTAAGCTTTTATATGCAAAAAAAAAAAAAGCTATCTATAACCTCATCACATGGCTGAGCATATTCTGAATCACCCTAGAATCCAGTCATTTAGAAAGATGCTAACCAGTTCTCAAACTTCTGCATTTGTTTTCTGATGTTCAGTTACCTCTCCTAATTAGATTTTCTAGTGGCAGCCAAGATGGTTAATCATTGGTTAGACAGCTGGAGCTTACTGTCAAGTGGTGCCTTTCAACTCAGGATGGATTTTTATTTTCTTACCAATCTGAGCATTACGGAACATTCACTGCCTGGTCCCTAGAAAGAAAATTTTCAGTGACAGATTTCATCTCTTAAACATCAGTGAAGATATTTGGCTGCATGCATGGTTTCATAAAAAAATTCATTGATTCAAAATGTATTAAATGCCTACTATGTTCTGCTAATGGTGCAAAGGGTGAGAGATGTAAAGAAAAAACGAGTCCCTATTCCCCTAAGGAGTTCTTAGGAGGAAGGCTGACAAGTAAACACACAATTCAAAGTAAGTGAAGTTCTCATGAAATTGAGTGGGTGAAATTGGCAGCAAGTACTATAAAAGTACAGAGGAAGGGCTGAAACATTGCCCCAATCATTTTCAAACTCCTCCTCAACCACATTTCATCACTAGTTATGCAAAAAGAACTCAAACCCTTCTGTATGTCTCCATGCGTGCCTGTTTCAAGGACTAACCATCAGGATATTTCTGCCTAAGAACGAGTTCCCCAAACTGCAAGTGTTTTCTATACCAACTGCAGAATATTGTTGAGTGCCTATGGATGGATAAATTAATTACTCACTTAATGAGTTTATGCCCCAATTTTACTTGCATTCATTGGGAATAGGAGAAGGCACAGTCATGGAAGGAAAGCCCCTGAGGTAAGAAGATCAGATCTGCATTGTGTGGTTAGATACACCAGGTGACTCAGGCCAGTTGGCCAGAGGATCCTAATCTGTAAAATGATGTCTGTGAGCTCTCCAACCCTCTGACTTTCTAAGATCTAATCAGAAAGAAATTGATCAAGCCAGCAAGATATCATTATAGTTTAGTAACTTTTTGAACTTCTCAGAGCCTTGAAGATGTATCAGGTAGGAAGGAACTTTGGTAACTGCTAAACTTGACTTTATTGAAGGGAGAAAAAATATTGTGCAAAGTTAGGGAATAATTTTAACAATCATTTTGCTCCTGTGCAGTAAATATTAACAGTGGAATTTTAGAAATGTACTTTTAATGGTGCCACATAGCAGTTGATCTATAAAATCATCTGGCCACAATTTGATTAGTTGGGAAAAAAATTTTCTGTGAAATATTACTTACCATTGCCAAGAAGAGAAGGAAGAAAACTGGCAATGGTAAATAATATTTCACAGAAATTTTTCAAAGCTTGAAAAATGTCATTCTGTATTTATTCAAAACCCTATTCAAAGACCCAACAAATTCCTCTCTTCCCTGCTTGACAATTTTAGATCTGGGAAATAAATATAAATACATCTGCGAAATAAATATTCATCTAATTTATCAACATTTAAGGCAAGTTTTGCATTACAATCTAATGGTAAACATATTTTTCTTATCAAATGGCTCGTCTTGACACTGTTTAAAGCCCTATATGAGTTCAGGACATTCAGTGACTCCAAGTGGAGTTAACTACTCTGTACAGGCAGCAACAAGATTTCTTGGGTCTTCTAACACAATTGATTGAAGTGTAACAATTTCTCTTTAGCTAACTTCAACCAAGAGAGCAAAGAATCACATCCCAGGTGGGGCTGAAGATCTGTCAGGGAAAATGACTCAGGCCAGAGACTGCAAAAAGGAGGATACTATGACTTAGTTTTGCAAATATAAACTTCTGGGGTTTTAAGCTGGCAGGGAACTCAAAGAAGAAACCACCAAGGGTGACTTTCAGCTTCTAGGAAGGAAGTACTGCCAGGGCTAAACCTGGATGTGCTATTTCAGTTCAGGCAAAGGCAGAAAATAATTTTGCAAGTTTTTACTTCTTTAAAATGAATGCAATGCTATAACCCAGCAGGCTATATGGAAACATGTATATAGTGTATGCACTAAAATGCAAGGCTGACATCCCTAGGGAAAAAAGTGGGAGAGAAGGGGAGAGAAAACACCCTTCTTTCACTAAGAACTCTCCAGTTGTGTCTTGCAGGCAACTACAGAATAATAATAAACGAACGATGAGATACTTTGACAAGACCCAGTACAATGGCACTCAATAGGATAACAGTTAACTTTCACACGCCTGACAACTTTCCAGCAAAGCCCAGAAGGAGAAGTCAGAAAAAAAATCAGAAAAACCAAAGCTTAAAACCAGCGGCACGAAAGTCTGATTACATTTTTCAATTTCATTTTTGGTTTCTCCACACTCGAGTGGAACTCACTCAGTCCCACAGATGTCTTCCTCAATGTGAGAACCATCCTTTCTGAAACCACAGGGCTGCAGATGTCACGCTGGAATTCTCCCAGAGGCAAACTGCCAGGTTCGAGGCTGTCCCTCCTCAGTCACTGTCCCGAGTGTGCGAGTGTGACCGGGGGGCGCCTGGGCCAACTGACGTTCAGACTGGTGGGCTGTTCCTACCCACAGCCCACCTGCGTTTGCGCCACCTTTACACAATGCGACCGCGCTGAGGGCGGGTGAGGTGGGAGGGCCAGGCATCCTGCCCCGCGGGGGAGAGGAGGAAGCCGAGGCTGGGCCCGCTGGCCGCCACACCGTTACCTGGCTGCAGAGCCCAACTGCAGCCCAGGTGGGCAAATGCCCTCCGCTCCCCGAGCGGAGCCCAGAGACCGTACTTTCTATTAAATGTTGTAAATACTGCCCCTCCCACCAGGCGGACAACACTGTATCACCAAACAGAAGGTTAGATCCCTTTCCTCCAACTTGACAACTCCTTCGGAGGCACCTCGCTCTTCTCCGTAAATCTGAGCCCCACCCCGGCGGCGGGCCTGGGTGGCCGGGAGGGCTGGGGGGCCCGGGGACACCTGGGCCCCCGCAGCACCTGGGCCTGCCCGCGGCGCGAGGGCAGCGTGGCGCTCGCGGCGCGGTTGAATCACGGGTGAGTCACCCCTTGCAGGGTCCCGGAGTTTCCTACGGCGAGGAGGCGGGGCAGGGGTGTGGACTCGCCGGGGCCGCCCTCCGCGACGGCGAGTGACCCGGGCCGGGGGCGGGGAGTTGGGAGGCCGGCGGGGCGGGGGCAGCGCCGGGGGCCGGCCGAGGCGTGGGCGTCCGCGCGGCCTTTATAGCGCGCGGGGCTCGGGCTTCCCCAGACTCGGGGCTCCCCGCGCCCCATCCCGCTCTCTCTGGCCTGCCTGGGGTGCCTAAAGCCCACCTTCCCCAGCCTCCGGGTGCATCGGAACCCACCTGACCTCGTCGCCAGCTCGTGGACATGGAGACTCCTGCCTGGCCCCGGGTCCCGCAGGGGACCGCCGTCGCTCGGACCCTCCTGCTCGGCTGGGTCCTCTCCCAGGTGGTCAGCGCTTCAGGTGAGTAGCGCCAGCTCCCGGGAGTCGGGGCGCGCTGCCCGTGGGAGGGAGGGGACAGTCCTGGCTGTCAGCGGGCTCGCCCTGGGTCCCCGGGGTGCCCCGTGGTGCCCCCGCGCCTGCAGGACTCGGCTGCGCCCGCCGAGCCGCGTTTGAATGAGCCTGGGCCCCGAGGCGCGCCGGCGGGAGTCGCGGGAGTAGTTGGCGCCCCGGCCCGGCTGCCCCTTCTGCTAGAGGTGTTTGCTCTGGGCGTCCATTGTTGTTGCATAAGCGGGTTTTTGGCTCCCTCTTTAACACCGGGGAAAGAGTTTCCCAGGGAGTCACGACCTTGAAGGTGATGGGACATGGGTCTGCATCTGCGCAGGTCGGCGTGCGAAGGTTTGGATGTCATCTTTCATTATATGTGCGTCTTCTCCTAATAAAGAGCAGCCTTGGTGTTTTCTTGGTTGTCTTTGTTTTAGAATTAGGGGTAGGCAATCCTTTTGCCAACTGTTGCTAGGATCGGAGCAGCTACGGCATTGTGCGTGCCCCATATGCCTGTTTTTTGTGTTTGGGGCTGTGCAGAGCTGGGGCCTGCTGCCTGGTGACAAAGCGGGCCTTAATGATAAAGCTGCTGATTGAATACATCCATGCGATGGTGTGACCCGCCACACAGCCACCTTGGTCTCTATGGAAGTTTTAGTATAGAGACATTTCAGATAAAATTGGAAAGAATCAATTTTGGCTTTTTTTCGTATGTATGCAGTCCTAATTTTTCATACATGTGGGATTTGCCTCTTTCCCTAATTTATTGTAAGCCCTTTCTACCTGGCCTTCGCTGGTGGGTTGAACCTGAATCTTGGACTTCCCAAGGGGGGCCGAACACCCTGGCACATTGATGGCTCTGGGCTGTGTTTCCTGGTCAGGTTATGAGAGGCCTTTCCCCATAAAGAATTTCAAAGGATTTCAAGATCCTTGCTCATTTCCATGGATGATAAGGTAGATCTTGCCATGAGAAAATAATAGGAAAAAATTTGAAATTTTTTTTCTCTTGATAATTCAGTAATGAAGCTTTTGTGGTTAAAAACAAAATGTGAAGTTTATGGTGATGGAAGGGGAAAAGATGTTTTATACTGTCAACTCAAAGTCATATGCTGAGAAGTACACATAATAATAGATGTTTCTCTGTTGTTTAAAGGCACTACAGATGTAGTGGAAGCATATAATTTAACTTGGAAATCAATTAATTTCAAGACAATTTTGGAGTGGGAACCCAAGCCCATCAATCATGTATACACTGTTCAGATAAGGTAAGCGAGGTACAAAGAAAATTAAGGTTTTTGATGTTTCTACTCTCCTATGCTGAACACAAATGTCTCTTTTTATTTTCTTTGAGACAGAATCTTGCTCTGTCGCCCTGGGTCGAGTGCCGTGGCGTCAGCCTAGCTCACTGCAACCTCAAACTCTTGGGCCCAAGCAATCCCCTTGCCTCAGCCTCCCTAGTAGCTGGGACTACAGGCATGCGGCACCATGCCCAGCTAATTTTTTCTATTTTTAGTTGTTTGGCTAATTTCTTTCTATTTTTAGTACAGACAGGGTCTCGCTCTTGCTCTGGCTGGCCTTGGACTCCTGAGCTCTAGCGATCCTCCCACCTCTGCCTCCCAGTGTGTTAGGATTATAGACGTGAGCCACCGTTCCTGGCCCACAAATGTCTTTACAGCTGATTACTACATGAGATTATTTAACAAAAAGCAAAGAAGAGGGCATTTATGGTAATATGCTGGCCAGTGTTACACTCTATCAAGCCTGAGACATTTCTGGGTCTTAAAGTAATAGAATGTTTAAATTGTTTTTGGAAATGATGGGAATATTCATAAGCCTAGTATAAGCTGTGGAGAGGTGAACCTTCTTGAGTAGGCCCTGAAGTATGCTTCTGCATGGATGATAGATTAATCTCATCTAAGCGCAGATGTCTTCTTTTGCCGTCTAGACTGTGAGCCATGTCTAACAAGTTAGGGAAAAGGTGGGGAGGAATTCTGATGTATACATTGCCCGTAAGCAGTGTTTGATTCATTAATCTTTGGACTCTGTGAATCAAAATTTGGTAGCACACATGATCTTGGTGGAGGAGGCCAAATTCGTGAGTCACGGAGCCTCGAAAAAACACTTCGCTGTCCGCACCCTCCGCTGTCTGGGCTGTTCTGCTCACTGGGTCTCATCTCTGATCGACAGCTCTTCCCGGGAGCCAGTAATTCATCACATTCAATCTAAAGGTTATGTCTTCCTTGATGGTTTTCACCATATTCTTGGCAAGTGTTTGGTCTCTAAAATGTTCTAGGCATGGGGTGGGTCTTTTAGGTGGATGTTCTTGTTTTTCAAAATGATCTTCATGATGACTATTGCCAAACCAACAGGGAGGAGAATTTGTGTGTTCAAGTGCGTGCGTGCATGCGCGTGTGTGTGTGTGTGTATGTGTATCTGGAGAGAGAGAGAGAAAGGAATGTCATAACCTGAGATAATGACTACAATTATGGTCAAACGTGTCAATTCAGATTCCACTGATTGAGAATTAGTAAGTAATTTCTCTAATACAGACCTGAAGTTTACTTTAGTAACCACTTTTCCTTCTGGATAGTGAAAATTAGATTTGGGGAGGAACGCTTACCTCCTAAATATATTCGGTCTTATGTTTTAGGGTCATGTGGGAATGTATTTATGATTTACCTGATTTTTAAATATAAGCCTTTGTTAACTCTTAAGCTCTCGGACTTTATAAGGCCGCCATTATTTAAATGAGCACAGCCCCTCATCTGCAAACACCAGACTCACAGGGCTAAGCTTGGGGTGCCTGCAGACTCAGGGTGCTCCTGCGGATGAGGGCACTCTGCCCACACTCTTGCTGGAGGGCCTGGGAGCAGCTCCATCAGCCTTGCCTAAGACCTGCACGCCTCACCTGCCTGCCCCAGGGGTAAATGGGATTCCTTGTTGAAATGACTAGAGCAAACGTTTTCCAGACTAGGAAACTATCACCCTGGAAGGGATTCACTCCTGACTGCACTGATGCTGAGTGCTCTTGCCAGCTCTGGAACCGAGATCTCCCCAGTACGCCACACCACCCTGTCCTCAGACGGCTCAGCCCAGTATGATGGGGGGCCCCAAAGCTAGGAGAAGGGAGGAAAGCCTTGCCCACTGCCTCTCCTCACTGGGGCTCCTTCCCTGCCTCCTTCCCTTCCCTCACTACGGAAGCCGGGCTCTAGCCACAGGCACCTGTGCTGAAGCCCCTGCCGGAGCTCTGGCTGCATCTTCCTCTTTGCAAAAATGTTATTGGCTCAGACCTTACCACCAAACCATCACCTGTTATATTCATTCCATGGGAATATTCCGAATTCTAAAGCTGAATTTACAAAGCTTCTAGAAAACAACCTACAACTAAATTAATGACGATTTGTATTCCATTGGAATTTTTTAGTAACTCAGGAAGGACTTTTATTATTTCCAAATCACGGGGTTTGGAAATGCCTAGAGGAATCTCCAAGGCTTTTAAAGTGTTAATGCTGCTAATGGCCTTCTGAAGAATTTATATAGAATTGCCCCTTCGTTACCTGTTAGCATGATTTATTACTCACAGTGGTACTGAATAGACCTTTGTGTTAAATTTTGCCGTGGAGTGCATGGTCCCTGCTTGTGAGCTGGAGGAACCAAATCCTGTATCTGTCAGACGTATGCAGCTGCAGAGGCCAACGCAGTCTTTCTTTCTCCTGGTGTGCGAACAGCCGTTTGCCATAGCGATGGAAAGGAATCATCGCGTTCTCATTCGCTTTTGACATGGAAATGATATAATAAAAATGTATTTTGATCATTCTAGACCAAAAATAGCCTCTCTACTTTTATTAGAATTAAAAATTGAAATGTAAGAAGCCAAAATATTTCTATATCAATCTTAGTTTGTGCATTTTAGGATAAAGAACAAGTTTACCCAAATCAGCCTTGTTATTTAGTTCAAATTTTTAAATAATACATATTAATGGCCGTTGTGTATGGATTTAGACAATTGAATCCATATGGTGACTTGTTTACCCCCAATGGTGTATTAATTCAACCTGTAAATGCAAACTGAGACTCAGCAAGGCCCTAAAGCCCTGCTGTTGGTGAGGGAGCACAGAGTGCGGACCCAGGTACAAAGCAGACTGAATCAATCGAGCGTGTTCTGGAGGTACCTGTGCTGGGGGACAGGGGAGGGAGAGCTAAGCACACGGCAAGGAGCTCTAGAGATCCAGAGCAAGTGGGGTTGCACTGTGGCAGTCGATGACGTGGACAGGAGAGCAGCATAATCATCACTTTCCAGAGAATAGAAGTTCATGGTTCAAGTTGCAGTGACACCTGACCTATGATTTTTTTTTTTTTTTGGTTCCTTAGAAGAATTTCATTTTTAGTAGAAGTTCCTTAGATTATTTCTTTTTCAAGGATGTCTTGCCAAGGAAAGATCTGTCTTAAGCCTTTTGGTCTCAGACTTTGCTAGACAGAGGCTACCTGTATCATAATTCTGCAATCTGTGTGAGATGCATTCATACCTTGCAGAAGTGAGGGAGGCGTGTGGTATGATGAAGCGAACAGACCCAGCTCTGCCTCTCTTTAGCTGTGTTACCTTGGTCAGGTTA